TGGCTTTATGATAAAGGATTGTTCCTCGAGGAAGGTGCTCCTCCAAAGCCAACTAAAGATGGTCTCTACCTCCTTCGTGTTTGAGATACTCTTCCAGCTTTGGGATCTCATGGTATGTTGGTGAGAAAGCTTCTGTTTCCCAGTGGTATGCCAGGCTTGGTCACTCCTCTCTTCGCGCTGTGTATTGTGTTCTTTCTACTTATGGTCTTCCTTCATACAAGTCTACTTCAATTAGTATTTGTTCTTCTTGTTAGACAGCCAAGAGCCATAGGTTACCTTTTTTTTCTACTCATGAGAAATCTCCCTCTCCCCTTCACTTAGTTTATTCGGAAACAAAGAGGACACCAAATGTCCAAACCCCCCAAAAATTACATATAGGCCCAAAACATTGATTGCCTTTGTACCCCTTGTTTAGCCTAACTGTCTGCCAAAGTCCACTCTGCATCCCTTCTGCTGTGGAACATAAATAAGAACAAACCTCCATTCAGTTTTCTGATACACCAAACTATGTTCTTCCCCCATTCAAATCCCGCTCAAACTTCCACTTTTTCTTCTTCCAGATCCAGGCCAATAAACCTTCCAACTAAACTCGTGTTAAGGACCTTCAGCCTCTCCACCATCTTCCTTGACTGACTCACCTCAATCTGCACCACCTTCAGCCTCTCCACCTTCTCACCTCACAAGCTCTCATATCTACAGCTTCTTCTTCTGAATAATATAAAGGTGGAAGGAAGCACCAAAATTTTGATAGGAACATGGCAGCATAACCATACTTCAAGACAAGCTAAACAGATGGATAGAGAGTTGAGAGTGACATGGTCATGGACACATATAGTAGCAAACAGTGTCACTGATTCACTTGCAACTTGCAGGACAAGAGGTGAATGGGGATAAATTGTATTGGGGGACAACAATGTAATTATTTCTCCATGACCAAAACAAAAGGGTGGGTAGCATTTCTTAGCCTAACTAATTAACTCTATACACTTCGTAAATAACATTCTTTTGCCACATCTAATAAAGTTCATGTTGTAAGAGTTGGGGTGACCTCTTGTCACCAAATCATTGTATTTTCTGCCTAATTGAATGAATTTTTTCTTTATTGATCTTCAAAACAAAAGTTCATGTTACCAATCAAAAAAGTTGATTGTATTATGTTGTTATCATTTTCTTTAAATTTTAATAAACTTTTTTTTCTATTTACCATTAAAAAAAGATATACAGGCCCAGCTGATTTCAGGAACTCTTTGATGGCTGAATTGCTTGCTCTTTTTTAAGCACTCAAACAGGCATGTTCCAACTACTCAAACTTGATAGTAAAAAGAGACTTCCAGTTGGTCTTAAATTGGCTTTGCTYCCAAATGRAAGGCCTCTAGTCTTTAAGATTTTTAATAAGAAAGGCAAATATTTTAGCATCTGATTTGTGCTCAAATCATTACCAAGATCAGCAGTTAGTCTTGATTKGTTACCAAGAGATCTCTTTCTTTTCTCTTTTCTCTGCCCAGCTTTAAGCTRTGAATATCATATCTGATCCTCACAACCCTATTTATGGGTACAATGCTTTCTTTCAAGATTTAGTAAAAAATCCATGCAATATTAATGATAAAAAAATGGGAGATTATTATTAGAAAGATGTAACTGCAATCACGTCAATTTTCTTGCAGCCTAGGTTCTAGGGTTCAAAATACACTGGTTCGACTTGACTTTGGCATCAAATCACTACACTTATGACGCACAGATAAAGGAAATGGTGATGCAGCTATCCATTTCCAAAGACCCTGGACACAATTACAGATATCCCATTTAATATGCTTACTAGGTAATGACCAGCCCATACTAAGTATGGGGCATCTATGCCTATTATTCTGTTCGAGATTGACCTCATTTGGGTTTCTTATTTAATTTAGAAAATTAAATCAGGTTTAATTTCTAATTGATGACCTATTTCATCTGAAAGGATGGGACCAACACCCTTGAAAACCTTTACAATGAATCTTTTATGTGAATTAGGAAACTGAATTAGAAAAGTTAGTTTGGGTCTGGCATCATTTGAAAGTGGGTAGTTTTTTTGGAGATAGTTAGCCACGTATCTGAAGTACTTTTTATGAACATGAAGTGAGTACTTTTTTTGAGAGTGGAGTCAACCATTACTTTTTTCCCGAGAGTGAAAAGAACCGCTTCTAGATACTCTTTCTTGAGAAGATAAATAACCAGAACGAATGTTTGTAGGAACATCAAGAGATGTCAGGACTTGAGAAGACACAAGAAAAGGCCTTTCTTCAGTATTTTCAGCTACCTTCTCCTGCAAGTGAAGCACTAGAAGGGGAAAACAAAATAGTTTTTGATTCAAAGATGTCAGGACTAGAGGGGCAAAAAAACATGGGCATCCATGGAGTAAACTGTAGAGATGGATGAATACTCCTCTACAGTGAAATGAAGAAGAAAAAGGGACATCGAAGCTAAGAGTTTTTGCTTCGAAGAAAGCAGATACAAGGATAGGTGGATGCTAAAGATCAGAGAAGAGAAGAGAGCCACCATTTTCATAGGTGAAGTGGTCAGATGGTTGAAGGGCTTCATGGATGGGATGACTTTCTCCATTTAAAGAATGGGACAGAAGAGTGAAGTGAGTGCAGATGGAAAAAGTTTTGAAGCTGAGCTGAAGAGAAACATGAAAGAGAGCAGGGTGGAGATTGTTCACAGATTTATTACAAGAGTTTCTGCTGAACATGAAAGAGAAACAAGTTCAAAACAAAGAAGGGACCCAGAGGTCTGTGACGATCAGAGTTTCAGAGAAAAATCGAAGGAAGGAAAACAAAAAGAAGGAGATCCACAAGCAATAGTATGTAGTAATATTAGAAGTCGAATGAGGCTCCTAGATGTAGAGAAAGAAACTTGGGAGAAAAACATCAGACAAAAAAGTGTCAGATTGGGGAAAAATTGTGGAAGCGGTTGTGGAAAGATTCAACATAAAAGGAATCATGAATATCAAACCTTTCAATGATTTGAAGGCTTTGTTACTTGGAGATGGTAAAGAAGTTGTGATACCCAGTGCTGAGATGATAGAATCTCCAGCTGGTAGGGTAAGGGTGGAGAGCTGGTATATGTCCCGTAACCAGAATCATATCTCTGAGAGAATCCTTGAGATTCGGCTAGTAGGGCTCCCATTCAATTTCTAGAACAAGGAAATACTTGAAAAACTGGTTCAAACGATGGGGGGAGTTCTGGTAGCATTCAATCTTCAAGACCCACATGCCGTGAGAGTAAGAATTGAGGGTCTAATTCCTAAAGAGTTCCTAAATGCATAAACCTGCTCATAGAGGACCTCTGGATTAAGGTTTGGGTTCTTCTGGAAGCTGAAATGTCTCTGTGGATGAAGTGTTCAAAGGAAGAATATGATGACATCAGCAAAGGCTGGGTTACACGTGAAAAAGAAAGAAAAGGTCAGTCGTGAATGAAATTGAAGAGTCTCCACGCAGGTTAGGTGTAAAGACACAGAGAAATAGAGTTTGTAGCCCAAATCTCTTGAAAATTGGAGAGCGAGGGTCAGGTGATTGAAATTGCACAGTAGAAGTCAAGTTACTAGTTAAGATATAAAGTTTCATTATAGATGAATCAGGTCTCTAACCACAATGTAATGAGATCAAATATTGGGTTGAAACAGCAACTCAACCAAAACTGAACATCATATGTGCCAATTCAGGAAGGATTCTCAAAGTTGACAGCTAAATGCTTACTGACTCACTTGCATAAAGGAACTATGTTAGAAATTCCTGTTTCAGTATTCAGTATTTAAGATGAGCCAAATCAAGCAAGCTGACTTATCAAAGGAAATGGGTCAGCCATGTAGCAAGAGTTTCAGCCAATTTTTAACAAACAATAAACATAATACATTCAATTGGCAAATGTATACATTTTACTGACCAAAAATAATGGCATGTTTATACATTAAAATGGAAGAATACATGTTCATGGAAAAATGTCTTACTTAAATATGAACTTAGTTTCAAAAAATTTTAAAGGTTACCAAGAAATACAATAACAAGTATTTATCAAGAGAAAGAAAACAATAACAAGCTGGAAATGTAGATTTATAAACCATATTAATCTCATTTCAATTTATAAATGAGAACTCAGTCGTTTTATAACTTCATATTACACAAACTCAAAAAAAAAAACGAAAAAAGAATCTATCCAAAGGGAAAAGTTATAGAAGACTATAAGTAAAATCATATGGAATACGACTTGGATCTATCTGGGAATACTGAAAAGCCCAGATATAGGCATTTGGAGTGAGAACCATTGAAAACGCAGTATACACCTAAGGGACTCCAAGACAGTTCTATGAATCCAATGATATTGGATTTCCAATAGAACACTGGACGGTATTATACTAACTAAAAAAGATTCCACCTGAAGTAGGATTAATTTCCCATAAATGCCCCAAATAGCACTCATTCTTAAAGGTGCACCAACAATTTTCCTGTTATCTATTAAACCCCATTCCAAGACAAGAATACTGAAAATTGAAAATTAGGTCTTTATACCACAACGATAATAGAAGTTCAATCTTTTTTCTTCAAAAATGTGCTCTTCAAACCTAACCAAATATGACTTCTATTCAAGCTTCACTTCCATTGAAAAAGGAGGTAATGAACCAAAAAGAATAACTAATAAAATTGCATTTCAATTTTCRATCACTGATTAAAAGAATAGCTCAATCCTTCGGGGCCCGGAAAGTGGCAATCTGGCCAAACGTAGCATTTACAAGTAATAAACGGAATTTTTCTATTACAAAATTATCTATTTCATGAGCATAAACTGACGGGATAAAAAACCAAAAAAAAAAAAACATAAGCAATCAATTTGTATAGCTTGAGAACAAGAGAAATTCCTCCCAAAAACAATTTCGCCGTTAGAAAAAAAAAACGAAAATTAAAAAATTCAATCAAACAACCAGAAGAWTAATCTAAAGAAATGAAGGTTTAACAACGCCAACTCACAGGAGACGCGGTGGACAATCCCGCCATACGCCAAAACATCTTGACAGACGCAATTGAACTGCGAAATCGCCTCCACGAGTCTCCGAAACTCAGATCTGCGAATACGAAGCACCCAAGACGACCAGAGCCCTCGAAAGTAAGCCTCCCAACCAACCAGAAAGGAAGCTCAAAATACAACAGGAAGAAACCCTAGAAATCTCAACTCCCTTGGAAAGATTCTCCGTGGCGAATCTGAGAAACCAAATGAGAGTTCAAAGGTCGAACATGCCCTTTATTTATTGTGAGGATATTTTGGGGATTTGCAGAGGATTAGTTCGATTCGATCGAGGGCCCCGAAATTAAAAAAAAAAACAAAGAAAGAAAAAGAAAGATAGGAGAGAAGGACGAACAAAGCCCTGCAATCGCGGGACGGTGGAGAGAGATTGTTCAGATAATGAAAGCCTTGGGTTTATAAGGTGCATAAATGAGAAGATTTATTTATTTAGTTAGTTTAGAAAGTTACAGCTTATATTTATTTATATAGTTTTCAGGGATGGGGATTAATTGAGTATGATTTTTGGCTTCTATGATATGAGATGACTTACATTTTAGTTATGCTCTGAGTTGGTTAAGTGATCCCAAAATTGGGACATTCATGTGCCTATCTTCCCTTGATTAGATTTTGTTTTACTTTTCTCTGTGTGATCTATGACAACATTTAACAAAATAAATCAAGTAATAGCAAAGGGAAATGGGCCCTTAGCATCAACTCCTTGTGATGCATCCGACCACTTTGGTGGGCTTTGATTTGAAAAGTTGGGATTTCTCCCTTCATTAAATTACTAATTCAAGGTCGTAAATGGGTTGCGTTTGGTATGCATTTGTTGGCCCATAAGTCATCAGCCCTGTGCTTATTGCGGGGAATCATGCCCTGTTTGGCACGTCTTCCTGTGTAGTCTTTCGGCTATGTATAAATCGGGCATACTATGTTGCGGATTTTTTTCATTTGGTTTGTAATAGATTTAGCCATCAAAAGTCAGTGTGCTGAAAATATGTGAGAAACTCATTTTGCGCTGATTTAGGGAAGCTCCAAATGGAGATTTTCACATATTTTCTCGCTTTATTCTCGTGTAGAAAGACACGAAAAGGATGCATGGTAGCCAATGCCTCTTTTGATTGTCAGAGCTACCAGAAGATCTTCCGAAAAAGACTTGTCAAAACGGTTCCTATATTTCTCTAGATTGGTGAGAGATTAACTTAGATGGTGCTCCTCCAATTATAATGTATATATTTTCTAGTGTCAAAACTATTTGGATATAAGTTGCATTTGGGATTTAGATAAATCTATTTTTATTTATAAATTATTTTTTTAGGCAAATCTATATGGGATTTAGTCCAATTAGATGGAACCAACATTAAGTAATAGCCTCTTCTATGTAATCTTTACTTTTATACAAATTCATAGATATCTTAATCAATTTTTTTATAGGAAATAAATCAATTTTGGATATTTTTCTTTCTGTTGAAAAAATGTCATTTATTAGGACACCCCCATAGTTTATGGTTTTATTTAAACCTACCCTTTCATTTTACTAAAACACCCCTTATAGTTTGCAACTTATTTACTTAATCAACCTTTTACTAAGAAGTGTCTATTTTGACATCTACAAATAGTAACATGATCACCTAAATTGAGTGGAAGTTTTTAAGGGCATGGGCCCATGCTTGTTTACTCCAAAAAATCAAATTTGAATATATGCATTACATATTCGTTGGGAATCAGATCAAGCACATATCTCCTGAATACTTGTTGGATCAAGCTTGGATATACCCCTAAACAACTTTGATCCAATACATCTTGCAACTCTATCTATATACTAATAAGACTACAAAACCCATTAATAAATCCATGGCTTATTTATTCAATTATTTATATAAATAAACAAATCACTTGTGAACATATTTTAATAAATTTATAAAAACTTAATTAAGATAATCACTTAATTAGTAACTTAAATAATTAAACTTAATGTCTACTTACTAAATTAATGAGTTAAATTGTTATAAAACATATCGACCCATTATATTTAATTTAAATGAATGAAGTTAATAAAATTTAATCTTACTAGTAAAATTTACAACGATTAATATAAATTTATACATTAAAATTATAACGAAGATAAGAAAAATAAAATGGGAAATTAACTAAATTCACTAGGGATGCAACTTGGGTAGTGGTTAAATCGACTAGACATAACACAAAAAATTATATTCAATTTGACTTAGTTTGGTTTGACTCAATTGAAATGTTATAGGGCTGCTTTTCTTCGTTTCTTTTTAATAAAGCCTGAGCATCTCACAAGTCCCTACTAGTTTGTATTAGAAATCATTCGACCATTTTTTAGCGGTTAAAAATAGTTTAATCCTCAATAGAGAATGTTTTAAACTTGTTCCCAACAAGATATAAGGCATACTAAATATGGTACTAGTCGTTATATCCTATAATGGTCAAATTTTTATCATGGTAGTCGACTAGGATAAGTTGATAACTGACTACTATACAAAGGAAGAAATCTTTTTTCTCATTAGGTCAATCGCTTCCTCCTATCAATCGATCGGTTCAAGTTCATTATGTTGGCTATGACTGTGAGAGGTAGTCAACTATAACAGTGTCAGGGAATTTTCATGCCTTGGTTGGAAAGGTAGTTGATTATGCCAAATTGGGTAATCAACTATTGGCTTACACTGATCTCTATTGTCAAAGGTAGTTGACTATAAATGGATAGTCAACTGACGACAATTCCAATACTTAGAAACCTTGGAAATTTCAGTCCAAAAGTTGGGGAATCTTTCCCTTTGCTTTCAAAAGTGGTCCGTATCATTTTAATTATCTTTTTAAGTCCATGAAACCATTGGTTTCTAAGATTGGATCAATCGAATCTAGTCTTGTTGAACTTAATGTGTTGTGCATTTCAAATGAACGATTGCATAAAAACACCTAAGACACTTAAGGACTTGATGCTTTATTCCTCATTGTTGATTTAATGTAGCAAAACTTAAGACGTTGCTTCATACTTCTTGGTTTTTGTAGACCCTTGTCTTCCTTAGAGCTTCTTTCTTCTTCTAGATAGGTAATGATGGTATTCAATTGCTCTACAATTAAACTTCCAATTTCATTATCATGATGAATTTAACAAGATATGGCCAAAAGAAGCTTACTTGGATTGGTTATATTTCTAGTACACCAATAATATTCTTAATTGTTTTATTATCACCAAAACACATAGGGTCAAATCTCTCACATCTCCCATGCATAAAAAGTAAAAACCAATCTCAAATCTCAAAAGCTAAACATCTTAAAGAACTAAAAAGTATGACTCTTATTATTGTGCCATTTTGATGATTATCATTCAAAATAATTTATTAGGAGAACTATTCACACATCTTGTTTTATTCAGTCACCCATTTAAAGTAACTAATCTACAAAACAACTACACTCTACTTAAAAAATGTTTTTTTTTTCTTGATTGGTTTCACTTAACTCAATAGTCATCCCAACAACATTAATTTGATTGGTAGAAATAAATGAAACCAAGTCGAACTGACCTATGTCAATGGCAATATTTGACATTAGGCTCTCCTTTTTGGTTTGTTTTATAAATGCATTTTTAGGTTGACAAAGCATTGGTATCTTGCACATCGAAGACTTACAACCAATTGTTTAGACTTAGGGATGTTTGACGATACGTATAATATTTTGTTTTTTAAATTTCACTATAAAAACTCCAAGCACAAAAAATTAAATGAAATCTTAGTTAATAAGACATTTCTTTTGCTAATATTTAATACACTATTTGTTATTCAACTTATTGGTGAAAAATATTAAAACAATGAAAATGGGTGAAATTGTCACATTAAATATTTTTTTATAAAGAATGTAATTTTTGTATACTTCATTTTGGATCTTATTTTATACTCATGAACATGCTTATTTTATTTTATGTTTACACATATACCATTACCCATTTTTCTATATTTTTGTTAATTAATTAATTTAATTTGTGATTCATATATAGGTTGATTAATTTAAAGATGCATATTTATGGTTGTAACAATGTAATACACTTTTTAAAATTTTATTAGAACAATATAACTTCATTCTCATGATGACATCATTATAGAAATAGTGGACACCCCATTCCATCATGTTGTCAACATGCTTGAAATACAAAAAAAAAAAGGAAAAAGCTTTATTAAATGAGCTTGTTTGTAAATGGAACATCTAGACGAGTTCACACATTTTGGGTTTTAGATGTGTCAATGATATTAAGAATACCTATAAGGAAAAACATGTTTATTAATAACTGTCATAAGTATGCACCAACATTCATGATAAGGTTCAAAGTATTGACACGTATCGGCCTGTATCGATCGATATGTATCATGTCGGTGGCTTCTCGATACACCATACAGGGGTTGTATCGGGTCAGACCATGGTTTAGAGGGTAGCTAGGACATCAACCGACCTCTCTGAACCAGTTTTGAAGAAAAAATAAAAATAAAACATTAAAAAAGCACTAACACATGTTGATACCTGTTTATTGGCATGTGTCGATATTTAGAACCTTGATTCACAATAAAGTTTTTAACAAGGAAAATGTTGTGCAATGGAGTGATGTAAAAACCAAAATTAAAGGTTTGATTAACAATAGATGAATGACATTAGATAATTACATCTCCCCCATCTTTCGATTATATATATATATATATTAGCACAATTCCTTTTCACTCAAAATTACCTATAAATTGATTCAAAGTGGTTTAAATTTCTAGAGAAGCTCAGAGACTTAGGAGATTATGATTGATACACATGTATATCCCCACTACTAATTAACTTTGTTGTTTCTACATGTTAAATGAATATTGATACTACTTGCACATTGTGCATAAACAAGGTTTATAGCTTTGTTGTATCATGTTATCTAACTCTATTATACTATAAATGAAAAATTCCATGTTTGGTTCAACATATTTATCCATATTCTCAATGAATTTCATTAGTGAAATGTTTATATGTGGTGAAATTAATGTCTATATTAAAACATCTTGACTACCACCCATATATTATATATTATCATATTTATATAAACACAAAATAAATAAATTATTATTTAAGGAATTCATAATAATATTGTTCTTTTTGGGTAAACAACAATGAGTGCCTTACAAACAATAATACAATTATATAGACATGTTTTTTGCACAAACTGTTAGTCAATGCCAAAATATTTTATTAAAAATGAGTTGGTAAATACAAAAGTGTCACACTCCCACTTGATGACCTTGTAAATCGTTGATTTGAAGGGCAAGAACTTTTCTTGATATTTACAAAATATGACCATTAACCATTCACCATTTTTGCATTAATCCCCAAATGATTTAGGGCCCC